ACCCCAGGCACCAGTACAGGCTGGGAAGCAGCTCTGCAGAGAAGGACCTGGGGGTCCTGATGAACAACGAGCTGTCCATGAGCCAGCAGTGTGCCCTCGTGGGCAAGAAGGCCAATGATATCCTGAGGTGTATTAGGAAGAACATTGCCAGCAGGTAGAGGGAGGTGATCCTGTCCCTCTACTCAGCCCTAGTGAGGCCACATTTGCAGTGCTGTGTTGGGTTCTGGGCTTCTCAATACAAGAAAGTCATGCAACTCCTGGAGGGGGTCCAGCAGAGGGCTGGGAGGGTGATTAGGGAACTGGTGTATCTCTCTTATGAGGAAAGGCTGAGGGAGCTGAGCCTATTCAGCCTGGAGAAGAGGTGGCTGAGAGGAGATATTTGCATACAAATATCTAAAGGGTAGGTGTCAAGAGTGTGGAGCAGACACAAATTGATACTGGCAGTTGATACAAACTAAAACAAAGGAAGTTCATTCTGAAAATCTTCTTTCCTCTGAGGGTAACCATGCACTGGAAGAGGCTCCCCAGGGAGGCTGTGAAGTCTCCCTCCCTGGAGATATTCAAAACCCACCTGGATGCAATCCTGTGCAACCTGCTGTGGGTGAACCTGCTTCAGTGGGAAGGTTGGAATAGGTGATCTCCAGAGGCCCCTTCCAACCCCAACCATTCTGTGATTCTGTGATGCACAGTGTTAGAAGCAGCATCTGTATTCAGCAGCTGCTCTGGGTTTGTGTACAGCTGACCCAAGCATATGGACCCTCAGGTGTAATGCCACAGAATTATTCTTTCTTTTCTGTGACATGAAGGTGTGGGAAGGATATTAATTTCACTCATGGAGAGCAAAATTGGGTGACTTTGATCAAAGAAAAAAATATGGAGAAAAATATGAATTTGTAGTTATCAGTAAATTTCTGAAATCAGATCTTATCCACTTTCTGAATGCAAAGATTACTTTTAAATCAGGTAACTCAGTGTTTTGAAATAAGTGGATCAAATTCTTTGCAAAGTCTAATCCAGGCATATGCTGCCACTGTTCAGATGTGTATATGTTTGGAGAACAGCTTGTGGCAAATTCTTACAAAAGGTATGGATAGGTTTCTAAAAATTTTTAAGGGCAAGTGGAATTATTTACCACCAGTCAAGTGACCTGGGATTTCCTTTAATTATTACTTTACATTATGAAATGCTCTGCTTAGATAAAATGAAGCACCAAAGATGAAATTTAAGAAAAAAAAATATGATGTGTTAATAAAATCCTAATTAAATGCCAGGCATGGGAGATTTCTTCCCAAGACCTGCCATCCTGGGAGAGACCAAATAGCCACTCAGCTCCGCACTGTCCCTTGGCTGTGATCAATGGCAGAGAGGACAGTGCCTACAGCAGCTTCCCCAGGCATCTCCTCAGCTTTCACAGCCATTCATTTCTGATTTAATCTGCAGTGGGTTCAACCCTGTGAATTGGTCTAATCCCTTTCTGAAGCCTTTCATTCTGGTCCTCCAGAACGTTGCCCCACTTTCTCTCTCCCAAGCTGTAGATAGTGAGTTCATGGACACAGCAGACTCACTCCTTTAAGCAGAGGCTGTTTTCTGCTTCTTTCTCTGAATCTTTGTGAATTCATTGCTATGATTTTTGAAATGAGGATACTGAAACTATCAGCAATACTTTAGGTGCACGCTAGTAACTAACAATAGTTTGTTTCATTTGTTATTGTTTTTCTAGCTCTTTAAGACCTATTGACTGTTTCACTGAGTTTATGTTTATAGAGAAATAGGAACACATTTCAAGGTCTCTTGAGTGATAATAGATAATTTAGGGCTCATCTCTGATTAAAGTAAGGCAGGGATATTTTTTCCCTGTGTGCATCATGTTGCATTTCTTTTCATGAGATCTTGTCTACCACTTCACTGAACCCACTGACAGTTTTACAGCTCTTCCATGGTTGCTGTAGAAGTGACCATTCTGAATGATAAAAATTCTCCATTGTGAAAATTCACAGTTGATTTCTACCTTTGTTCCTTAGCTTTTAGCTAATTAATCTCGTATGGAAATAGTTCCTTCTTATCCCTTCAAAGTAAGTATTTCACCACCAAAGGCTCTTGAAAATTAAGTTTCCTAACATTCTAACATGGTCTCAATTTTTTTTGAGCAACCTGCACACCGGATAGTCTGCATCCCTTAGAAGCACTCATGCTTATAAATAAAACCTTAAATAAATCCTCCCTTCCCAAGAAAGCAGCAGGGACCATGGCAGCCAGATATTGTGGCTTATGAGGACTCTCAGGCAGAGTTCCACTGGGAAGAGAAGCAGAGACCAGAAACTCCTCAGGATATTACTAGGAGGGAAGGAGCTTCTCCTCATATTATCTAGAAATGGACATAAACCTGTTTCTGCTGGATTGCTATGAGTTTCGTTAGTAAGTCACTGGATTTGTCCATAAACCCCTGATAGAACATAACAGCATCATCTTGAATCCGTTAGAGATTTAGAGATTCAGATTCCTTCTGCAAAAGCTTTCCACACCCTACTCTGCAGCAAGATCGTATGACAACGCATGGCACCAGTACAATCTGAGGAGAGGAACATTAAATCCTCAAATACCAAAGTACAGTAGGAAAGGTACCTTGACAGACACAAGCTTTGTTTTGATGGTCACCTGCTGTTGATCCTTTCATAACATGAATACTTAGAATAGGTACCTTTATCAGGAAGATAAAGACCGTTAGGCTTAAGGGGAAGAAGAAAAGAACATGAAGTTCCTTTTCTTTCTGCCTCCCTTCCCTTTTCTCAGGATTTGAATCAGAATTAGACTCTTGTGGCTCTTCCACCTCCAGCTTTGATTTTAGCAGACATCTCAAACATGCAGACATCTGCTCTATTCACTTGTCAGGTACAAGAAGTCCAACAGAAATTGTTCTGGCAAATTAATAGGATTTCCCAGCCCCCACCCTCCCACGCCCCTCACTACTGAAATTATGTCTCTACTTAAATATTTAGTCTAACAAAAACTATGGCATCTCCGCCATATTTCATGTTCTTTCTTACTACTAACTAAATCTCTTACTTTTTCACATGACAGTCTCATTTTCAGATCTCCACTGGTATGTAGTAAAAACATGGCAGTTTCAGACAGATCTTTTATTACATATACCAGAAACAGGCACATTTTAGTATGAGTTTAAATGAGTCTAGGTAATGCTTTAAGAACTGATTTGATGCAAAAGGTTTTGTGTGGATATAAACTGTTTCAGTGTCAAGTTACTGTTTTACTTGTTTACTCACTCATGTACGTGCATGGTAGTTATATGTCTCCATTGAGTGCAAAATAAACAATTTTTGTAGAAAGTGGGTTTATTCATATTTAGTGCATTTTAAAACATAGAAAGATTTAGACATTTTGACATAAGTTCAGTGCTTATTTCCTAAACAACAAGACATTTCTGTAAAATAAAACATTTAGGTAAAGTGATTGTGTCTGTATTACTAAAGCTATGATTTAATTCATATTCTTGTCTCAACTGTAGTGCTAAAGAAGCGTGCAGTTTGATTATGGCTTGCACTTCAGAGTGCTCACTTTTACTTCACTTATACTTGACTTCAGTTCCCAAAAAATTAAATTTTAACACTGTAAAAACACTTGCATCCATACTAGAAACAAAGGTCACTTTGAGGTATGTGTATTGTGACTTTATATGAGATGTGTGATCTGTCTTAGTCACCGTCACCTTCAGAGAATGTTTATCAGAGGGCTGAGAAATTTGTTCTGCAGCGATGTATTCTGAACATGTCTCCTGTTAGAACTTTGGTTTATAGGTGCATTATTTCCCCAAAAGTGTTTCAACAATCTTTTCTTTCACTTTTCCAAGTTCTCTGTAGATAATAAAATTTTAAGGATTTATTATTTTTGAAAAATGAAACACAACTGTTTTTAAACACCAGTTGCAGGTGGATAGTGGGGCTGAACTGCTTTGTGCTAAGTTTGCCAAGGCTGAAGTGTGGGATTGGGGAGGGATGCTCAGACACCATTGGGATATTAATCGAATATATAGTTGTAATGAGCATATTTATGACAGAAAAATAGCATGCTCTTTGGGGAGCCTAGAGAAAAGAGTCACCCATAGCATATGCATTCAGTTAAAAAACAGAGGATAATAGGAAGAAACACTGGGTGAAAATTCAAGAGGAATGTTTAAAAAGTGCAATGGAAAATGAGAGACAAGACAGAACAGGAGCATAGATGGAGTAAACAGAAAAGTGGAGAACCACAGAGAAGAACAAAAGGAGAAGCAAAGTTGTTCTTTAATGTTTTGAGAAAGGGGCTGAGATGTGATGTAATACATGTCTGTGTACTCATAGTTATCTATAAATTCAATTCTATTCATATATTATTTATGTCTAGTTAGAGAGCTGCACACCTCGATAAATCTTCTGCATTATTTCTGTTTATCAATTAACATATTTGAATGGAGAAGAACAATGTCTTGAACCCTGGGCATTTTCAGTAATTACATCTATCTGTATATAAAATAAATCATGTTTGTAGTGCCTCTATTGTAATATACAAGTAAAGAAAAATAGATAAAGAAATTCTGTAAACTAGGAGGTGGGAGGCAATTTATGACCACTACTTATTGTGCAAATTTATCCCCTTTCCCCTGTTTTAATGCCTTATTGTTCTCTTGATCTGTTTATTATCTTGTTACGTGTTGGGTTTGCAAAATAGCTGAACTATAAATTTATTTTGGACTTCAGATAGATATATATATACATATATATATATATATACACCATGTATATATACACAGATTCTGAATTTTTAGTGAAAAACGCAACGTTAATGCAAATGACATCACATAAGAATTTATATCCTTGCACGTTTTTACACAGGCCGTTTTTCAATTCGTGTTGAACTTTCTTCCAAATGAACTCATTTCCTTTTGCCTGTGAACATCACCATTTTTTTTCAGCATACGTTAACTGTGACTATTGTTTCTTGTCTAGCTGTGCCCCATAAAATAGGGCGGATAATTGATGGAAGTCCTGCGGATCGCTGTGCAAAACTTAAAGTTGGAGACCGGATCTTAGCTGTGAATGGCCAGTCTATTATTAACATGCCTCATGCAGATATTGTGAAGCTAATTAAAGATGCAGGTCTCAGTGTAACTCTTCGCATCATTCCTCAGGAGGGTAAGTCAATGGCTCTTAAAAACAGGAAGAAAATTTTAAGTAGCCTCCAATTAGCTTAAATTATGTCACTGCTTGAAAGAGCATCTTTTGTTCTGCTTCCTCAGCTGTAACGTGCAGCACACCAAAATTATGGGCTTAGAACTATCTCAAATAGGATCTGAATTCTTTAAAAGATTCCCAGTTATGAAAAGGGCATTTAAAGCAAACCTGGAGAAACCTGATAGATAGAGAGAGATGATGTTAATGTGTTTTGGAAAAGCATTCTATAAGACAGCCAAATTTTGACTTTGTTCACTTATATCTTGCTATAAGACAAGCCAAAGTTTGGCAAAGTGATTTACAAGAGACTACAATGGCATTCACCAAGCTACCAGCTACCTATGACAAAGAGTGTGATGTGAAGGAAGAGTTCATATTTGGCAGTTTCCTCTATGAATATCTTGTGGTGATATATCACTATAAATGCACAGGGCAGGAAAAAACTGAACCCTAAATTATCTCATTTGGAGGGTGAGGGTAAGGGGACAGACTCATTATTCTGATCATTACTCCACAGCTAATCAGTGAAGATCTTTTGATGTTGGTTCCATGGGGTTTGGGGCTGATTTCGGGGCTTTTTTTTAGTTTAACAATGTGCTACACTGCTGCATGAATTGTACCATATTAATGAGACTGTGGCTTTACATCTCAGCAACGAATACCAGTACAGCTGGGAATGTCACACAGCAAGTAATGGAATTACTTAATGATCCATGGTCCAGTGAGATGACCTTCATCTTCTGCTGCTGCATCCAGCAACAGAACAGGGAAATAGTCTGACATGGTCATGGACTGCAACTGAGGGAACTCATCTACTTTGTTAAATGAATTCAGTGAAGGGAAAAGCACAAACATACACAAATTCAGAATTCACATCAATTAGCATCTGTATAGTTACAGAAGGTCAGCTTTGCAAGCATCTACAAGTAAGTGTGAAGCTTCATACAGTACATGCGGTTTATTTAGGCCTCTCTGGTATCCACGTTAAATAACATAATTAATAGTTCAGTGTTAGACATGGATACATTAAATTAGAAAGAAAGCAGAAGTGCATCTGAGTTGTAGTGCTACAGGATGTTCTCAGGTGCTGGTGGTGAGAAATGATCTATGCCCAAGGCGTGGCTTCCCTGTGTGACTGTTTTGACACTGGACACCTCATTTGCCTTCTGATATTAGCTTCCCAGCTTATAAAAATTGGAAAAAAATCTAATACCTCTGTAATATACTTTCAGGTGAAAAATACCATATAAATGCAAAGCAGTTTTAGAAGCAGCTCATGATTTGACTATTTCATCCATAGTTATGAGAGTAATGTAGAAACGAGGGACAACATTTCCAATCTTCCTCTCTAAAACTTGCAATACAAAAGAGACTCACAGATGCAAAATGGGCAATTACACCCTTAAGCATAGTAATTACACAGACAAGTATTGCTTATGCCTGCATGAGGGGTGTTTTAAGTGCAAATATACATGCTCTTTTGACAATTAATCCTAGAATGAAAACGTTTTTTAACAAAGTAGCCAAAATTTGTAAAATAATTATGAGCATAAATTAGGTAAGTAAAGAGCCATTAGAAATGTGCGGTCCTAGGGAAAAACTCACATGGTAAAAAGTAGAAAAGAAAATAATTAAAATAGATTGAAATGTAAAACTAGGCAAGATCCAGAGCATGTGTAGCTATTACCATTAGGGGGGCTCTGCCATACCATACAGAAGCCCATTTTGGATGCTTTGCACCACACCACGCTGGCCTCACTCATTCTGTTGCAAGCAGGAATGAAAAAATATAATGTGTGCCTTTGCTGTTGATAATGCAGAACTTCTGCAGTGCTCTGTCCTTTTGTGGCTGGAGTGTCTCTCATTTACACTTCTTAGTAGGTAAATGATGAACAACAGAACTGTGCCAGTGTGTTGGAATCAATATATTTGATATGAGCTCACTGTCAAATGTTGTCTTCCCCCAAGTGCAGCAGGAAGCGTGAAGGAAGATTGGCATACTTTATTTGTAACAAGGCCACAAGACCACATTACCTACACCATTCTCTCTGTCTTTTTGTATTTCATGATGTTTGGAAAGAAGGATTCTGTTTCTCTGCACTGTTCCTGTGTGAAACCTTGGTCATTTGACACAGTACAGTGAAATAAAACATCACTTTAAATGGTTAGTCAGAATTTATTGAAATTGGTTTTACTGTTCCCAAAAATTTAAAAAGACAGGAAACTCTTGATGAGCTCAAAGACAGCAGGAGCTAACATAAGGACACAATATTTATAACACAAAAGGTGTTTTGCCATTTGTGACAAGTCTGTATCCCAAACAGTGGTGAAAGCACTAAAATTGTTCATTCTCTCACAATGAAAAGTTTATTCTAAATAGAAAGCATTTCAAATGTCTAGTAGCTGTGCTAAAGCACATGGAGAACAGGAAGGTGATTCAGGACAGCCAGCACAGGTTCACCAAGGGTAAGTCCTGCCTGACCAACCTAGTGTCATTCTACAGTGTAGTGACTACATCAGTAGACAACAGTGGACAAGGGTTGAGCTATGGATCTCATCTATCTGGACTTCTGTAAGGCCCTTGACATGGTACCCCACAACATCACTCTCTCTAAATTGGAGAGAGATGAATTTGGTTGGTGGACTCCTCGAGGGGTGAAGAATTGGGTGTATGGTCACATCCAGAGGGTACTTGTCCACAGCTCAGTGTCCTGATGGAGACTGGTGGTGTCCCTCAGGGTTCCATATTGGCACCAACACTATTTAATATCTTCATCAGTGACAGAGAGTGTGGAATAGAGTGCACACTCAGCAAGTTTGCAGATGACACCAAGCTGAGTGGTTTGATACAGCTGAAGAGCAGGATACCATCCAGAGGGACCTGGACAAGCTTAAGTGGACTCATGGGAATCTCATACAGTTTAACAAGACCAAGTGTGAGGTCCTGCACCTGTGTTGGGGGCAGCCCCCAATATCAGTACAGGCTGGGAGATGAAGGAATTGAGAGCAGTCCTGTGGGGAAGGACTCAGGGGTACTGGTGGATGAAAAGCTGGATATGAGCTGGCAATGTGCACTTGCAGCCTGGGAACCAATTGTGTCCTAGGCTGCATCACAGGAAGTGTTGCCAGAAGGTCGAGGGAGGTGACTCTGCCCCTCTGTTCCGCTCTAGTGAGACTCCACTTTGAGTACTGCATCCAGCTCTGGGGTCCTCTGGACCTGTTGGAACAAGTCCAAAGGAGGGTCATCAAGATGGTCAAAGGGCTGGAGCATCTTTCCTATAAGGAAAGGCTGAGACAATTGGGATTGTTCAGCCTGGAGAAGAGTAGATTTCACGGAGGCCTTATTACGGCCTTTCAGTACATAAAGGGGCCTTGTAAGAAAGGCAGGAACAGACTTTTTGCAGGGTCTGTGACCTTAGGACAAGGGATAAGGTTTTGAACTAAAAGAGGGTATATTCAGACAGATATAAGAAAGAGATTTTTTTTATGATGAGGGTGATGAAACACTGAAACACGTTTCTCAGAGAGGTTGTAGATGCCCCGTCCTGGCATCCCTGGCAAAATTCAAGGCCAGGTTGGACAGAGCTCTGTGCAACCTGGTCTGCTTGAAAATGTCCCTGTTCTTTGCAGGGGGTTTGGACTAGGTGATCTTTAAGGGTCCTTTCCAACCCAAACTGTTCTATGATTCTATGCTTCTTGGATTCCATGATCAGTATTTCTATGCTTTAAAAGAAAATGTGAAACATGGAAGTAATTTGCCTTGTTCAGGTGGGTTTTTTAAATAATGAAGGTGTAAATGGAACTATAGAAGTGACCAAGATTTTAGATCCCACAAATTATGAAAAAGATACCATTAGGTTCAAATGTCTCAAAATCTAATTATGACCCAGGAGACTAAAAGCAACAAAGCATAAATTTGCAGAGGTAGCATGTGAACAAAAATTATTACTGTCTACCCTTGCCCTTAATTAAATGCTGCACTGTGACAGGTCTTTAATCTCCAGCTTCCCATTACGCAGAGCTGAACAGCCCAGCCTCGGCCCCCAGCTCGGAGAAGCAGAGCCCCATGGCCCAGCAGCACAGCCCCATGGCCCAGCAGAGTCCCCTGGCACAGCAGAGCCCCGTTGCCCAGCACAGCCCCGTCACCCAGCCACCACCTCCACAGCCCCTCCAGCCACAGGGACACGAAAACAGGTTTGTTCATTTTCTTACATGTCTTTTTTGTTCCCCTCATATATTAGAGTTTTGGAGTCAGGAAGGTATTTTTATAACAGGTTTTATCTGTGGTGTATCATTTACCAGCCAATTCTCATGTGTAATTTATGCATATGCATTAGCGAATTTGTCTGTAATGGAAATTAAATGGTAGGGGGATAGAAATTTTCTGACCAGCTGTCTATATAAAAAGCACACTCAGGCTGTGGGATGGTACAACTTTGTGTGACCTCCAATCAACACTATTTAGTTTTTGGATTATTTTTTAGCATGTTAAATGAGGCTGATTACACTGACTGTCTTTATGCTAATCTTCAGTAACCAACACACATCATCAAGACCCTCTTCCCCAAATGGTGCTGGTTACAGGATTGTAACTTTTTGATTCTGAAGATACTTGAGTTCAGTTGTGATTTAGACACTATGCCCTCTAATTCTCCTTGCTTAACAGATGTAGTACTTTCACTTGCCCAAAATTATCTTCTCTCAATTAGTCACACTAGGAAAATTACTTTGCCTGATATTTCATTGAGTACTTTTTCTAAAAGTGATCACCTCCTAGAAGACATATGTTTCTGACAGTCTTCAACACAAAGCTTTCACAAATGTCTCTGCACAGTTGGAAGTCAGAATTAAATATCTGTTAAATTGGGATATTTTCAAATGGGTCCGAAAAAATGATATTAATTAAAGTTCCACTGAAAAGTGTAAGCTATAATTGGTCATATCACCATTTACATATTCAGCAAAAATTGCAATGGTTCCACTTGTGCATAAAAGGTTCATTTTCTAAGACACAGCTGTGGTCACATCTTAGGAACCTGCCTAAGAATGGCTCTTATTTCATAAAAAGGTCCATTATTGCTAGGTCATATAGTATTATTTTTCACCAGATTTTATAAGTTAGATTACTGTTTGTTTCTATAGCCACATATGTTGTTTCTGTACCAAAATACTATAAGATATTTAAAACTCCTAGGAATATTAACTAGTATTTTTACTTCCAGTATTAATAAGGCTCAGTATCATGGTAAGCCTGTTTGTTCTCTGTCTTCTTTTTACAGGATCATGATATTGAGTAAAGAAAGTAAGAGGATTGCCACGTACACATGCAGGTCTTATTATAGATGCCATGTACAGGTTTTAAAAGAACACGTGGCAGCAGGCTATTTTAATCTTCTCAGAGAAGTCAAAGGGAAATAGTTCAGATATTTTTGTGTCTGGTTAGACATTCAGCTTATTAAAACTATTGTGTAAGATGATTTGCCGTAATGTTACTGTAACTGTATTAATAATGACATCTTGAAACACATCTGAAACATTTTGAAACATTTAGATTCAGATTATCTTTTTATATGTAAATTAACATAATCAAAAGAATGCTGTCTTTTTTCAGAATGCAATTTCTTTTAATCAATAAGTACTTTTCCAAATCCCTTCCACAGTCTATATCTGTCTCTGTATCTTCATGTATCCATGTACATACATGGTCATTTGATTGACTAAAAACTTCCAGTCCATTATTAAAGCCGAGTTTGAAATGTCTATTTCCTGTATAACAACTAGGGAAGAATGTAAAAACATCCAAGATGTGAACATTTTTGTTCAAATCTTAACCAAGCCACTATTACACAATTACCTTGTTATAAAGGTTCCAGACTTCTTTGTGCCTCTTAGCCCTACCACACGGCTGCAGCTATGGAGGTTTGCAATGAGAATGTTTTTTACTTCACCCTGAAGTGTGAAATGCCATTAAGCACTGATTTCCATGTGACAAGGGAAATTCCTAACTGAGTAAATTAAATAACTAGTCACTGTACCTCAGAAGGTCACATTTTCTTTGAAATTTTAGCACCCAATTCCCTATAACCAGTTACCACTTAAAGCAATATTTTACTTGTTATTAAATTCTTCATTAAACAAATTTATTTTCCTTTCACCCTTTGTTATTTCTGTGAATAACTACTGATAGGACTTACTACAGACTTTTAACCAGGTAGTATTGTAGGGAGTGCAGAATAATAATAATAATAATGCTGTACACTATATTAACAGATGTTATATTAAAGAATACCTGTCATTAAAAACATAACAGCTAGGACAAAGAATGTACGTTTTTAAAAAAGAAAGTCTTTTTTTAACCCTAAGAAACTCAAAATAATAATAGTTTATGTCAGTGAAATGGGCGTAAACCTCACTGATGTTCCATTTATTCTATAAAAATGTTAGTTCTGGGGAAAAAAACATTTTATAAACGCAGTGAATTATTTTGTAGTGAGTATAGTGGGTGTTTTCACATACAGTTTCACCTTCCAAACAGGAAAGGTAAGTGGGAATCAAGATGTTTTACTGTTCCTGTCCCTTTGAGTCGAATTCTGATCTCACTGATACAAGATGGAAAATTGCACAATATGACCTGAGGGAAAATTGCTTATGCCCATGTTTCAAAAGCGCTCACTGTTTTTGGATGCCTTGACTGTTTACCCCGGAGAGGTTTGCTTCTCTGTGAAAATTTGTTTTATGCAATTTTGCAGTTAGGCAGGTTGCTTTCCCTCCTCAATATTGCATGCACTGCATATTCCTAATTGTTTACTACTTTCTGAAACCAAGCCATTTCACCTTGCTCAGTTATAGGTCAGAAGTAAAAGCCAGACAGGATGTGAAACCTGACATCCGGCAACCTCCGTTTACGGACTACAGGCAATCCTCGACGGACTACCGACAGCCTCCGCTGGACTACAGGCATCCTCCAGTGATGGATTACCAGCAGCCACCACCTCTGGACTACAGGCAGCCACCTCTGATGGATTACAGGCAGCATTCTCCTGACACCAGGCAGTACCCTCTGTCAGAGTACAGGCAGCCCCAGGTACAAACCCAAACACTTGGCACATTCCTGAACAGAAGGTATTAGGGTCTGTGGGGAGAGGTCATGTATGATGGTAAGGAAGATGACACTAGAGAAGGAAAAGACACATTTGTTGGTTTTACTCCAAGTTACTATTTCTCTGTAGAAGAAGTTACTTCCAAACCATTAAAATTAATGAAAAACCGTGTAATCTGTAACATAACACTACATTTATAATTGTGTGACTATAATGTTAAATAAACACTGTTTTTAAGGTACTGGAGAGTTAAAATAAAAATTCTAACATAAACTGCCTTTGCATAAGCAGAGGAATTTTTTCATTCCTAGGGACAAAACTCAGTCATCAAACAATGGGTGTACTTAGGTCAGACTGCATTTCTACAGCGGTCTTGAAAATTAAGATTTTATCTAATTGGAATAAATAACTAAATGAATGCAAATTCTGACTGATAAAATTACATTTCTGTTAGCAATAGTCTGGATGAGTAGAAACTGTCTTGTTCAACTAGGCATGTTCTGACAAATTCAAACAGATAAACCTTAGATCAAGAGTTATGGTACCTTGGACAAGACTCCACTGATGACAAATATTTATTTACTGAAAGCTGTGAAGGTTGAGGATTTAGCTCAAAGTTCAGACTTTCAAACAAATCCTCCTTTCTCCTTACATAAAGGCAGGACAAACAGGGGTCAAAAAATATTAAACAAGAGAATGCAAACTTCTAGGCACTATATGCTGGAACCAATGGTTTCTATGTCCATATTTTCAAAGCCAGACACATAAACAATATAAAGAAAAATAGTGAATTTTTTAAATGGTATCCAGAGAACCCTGTGAAAATATTATGCATTTCAGTATCTAAATAGCAAATCCCTATCCCCATGTGCATACCCTGTAAGATGCTTCATAGCATCTCAAGAGATGCTTGGACTGACTGTTTCTCACCATCTCCAGTTCTCTAACTCTAATCACTAGACTACACAACCCCAGCTTGCTCTTTTTTTTTCTCCTGCTCCCATGGCTCTTGCACTCTTGTCTGATAATGGGTCAGAAGATATACAGGAATTTTTCTCCCCAGAACTCTGCACAGAGGTGGTAGTTTGGACCCATCAAGGGAAAACTGCAAAGTTGAATCTGAGTCTCTGAAGACACAGAAAGGGCAAAGGACAAAACTCAAACCTTCTTCTTCCCACCTCCTCCTCAAGGGACACAAAGTGATGAGAGTTGCTGTATTTTGTGACTCCATGTAGTCAAACCTGCCGAGCACATTAAGTTCTTCTTGGAATTTAGGAGACCTCTCCCACTAGTTTTTACTTGTGATGATGCTTACATAGGAACTGCCTTCTACCTCTCTTGCCAAATCAGCACTTCTGCATAGACATAAACATTTATACCTGGGTGCCATGAAAGTATTGAGGGTGAATATGGAACCCATCTCAAGAGCTTTTGTAACTGCTGTAAAATACTCTTCCAGGGTGTTTTAGACTTATGCATTGACAGATTTTGGCCATTTCTGAAAAGACACTTTAGCAAAATGTAAATGCCTAAGATCCCTTTGCTCGTATCAATTGGATCAATGCATTTTTGAAGAGTTGTGTTTTAAAGTTTTCCTGAATATATACCACAATGTTCATATAGTTAATTATCTTTCATTTTGTATTTGTCTGCACAGGACTTTGATTATTTCACCGTTGATTTGGAGAAAGGAGCCAAAGGGTTTGGGTTTAGTATTCGAGGAGGAAGGGAATATAAAATGGATTTGTATGTGTTGAGGTTAGCAGAAGATGGACCAGCAATAAGAAATGGAAGGATGAGGGTGAGTAAAATGCAGTGTAACATTTTTTTGCAATATGTACAGATATGTTTGTTGGTGGGTTCAAAGAGAAAGCAATTTTTTAATCTCTGATCAGGTTTTAAAGAACTAATGCCAAATACCTTTTATAATATAAACTCATTTGGTAGGAGTTCAAGAAATTAGCTGATATATATAGTAGATCTGTGTAGTTTCCTTGCAGAAAAATGTATTATTTCTGTTTGATAATAGCCTTTACTGTGTTATAAATTTTCTCATTATATATTTTCCTTCTTATCTAAGCAACTGAAAAATTTCTGACAAAGTTTGATGTTTCTTGGATAGTAATAGCATAATTAATGGTTATGTCTCTAATCACAAAAGCAAATTGACAACTATAGGACATATATTGGATAACTTGGAAACCTATGACCTCATCTGTGTTACTTGTCTAATTTAAGCAAGTTGACTTTGTAGTGTTTGCTAAATTTACTTATTGATATTACTCAATCTTGTTTGTAGGGATCATGTAAAAAAAAAGTAAACACATGTTCTGTGTAGGAAAAATAACCTACTCAGAAATAGATGGGTTTAATCTGTCCAATTGTGATAAAGACAAGGTATAAACTCATCCAAGCTTGCTGATACTTTGCAGAGTAGTGAGTACACAAAAAGGAGAAGGACAGAACATAGGCAAGTCTGCCAAGAGTCAGCACAAATAATTGTTTATGTATCTAATTAGTGCAGGCATGTTCAACCAGTATATAATTATAAAGATGGGCAATGAAAATTGTGTTCTGTACAGTGGCAACAGCAGATTTTGCAAATATCATGGTTGTTACACATTTTCACTTTCACAGTTCTAACAATTTGATCAAACTGGGTGTCTTACTGAAATCTTACTGGGTGTCTTTCTGTGTATAACTCAGGAGATTTACTGTGCTTCAAATCAGTCTTGACTTAGCCACTTTGTAGAATTTTAAAATTCAGTTAGTCCTTAGTTGCATCATGGAATGCAAGCCCCTGGCACTGGGAGCTTGCACAAGGTAATGGTGGCATAAGCAACCCCAGTGTTGAGAAAGCCAGTGGGGTAGGCAGGCAGGCAACTGGCAATTGAGAAATACTCCCACAGTATTTTTTGTGTCAAGTATAGGTAAATTTGTGCTGCAGATAGAACTTTAACTTAAGAATATCTTCTCTGGTGAGTGCTTTCATTCTTTCCTTTACTGTAACATAATCATAGTCAGTTGTTCTTAATGAGAAACCATAAGCAAGAGGTACAGGAGCAGCCATAATGTGATTAAAGACAGGGGAAAAATTGTGCTTTTAATAAGCTCTGGAACTGCATATTTGGAAACATATGGCTGAAAATACAGAACAATAGAAGAAAAACGCCTTTGAAGAGAGTTCATTTCAAAGAATAACCTGTATTAGGTAGAAAACTAACTTATTAAAATCTGTGCATCATTTGAGCAAACTGGTACTAAAGGATAAAATTAGACTATCCAGTCTGTAAATAGCCAAAATATAAAAAGTGTATAACACAAATAGGGTTGGTTTTTTTTTTTTCAATTACATTAGGAAAATTCCTGTATGTTTTAATGAAAATTGTTAATATACTTTCAAAAATATCTTAGTTTAAATTTTTTTCATTGCTGTGGCTACAATACATAGCCAAGTGTTATTCTAGCCGGATAGTTGTAACTGGGTTTCTTCTCTCCTTTAAAAGCATCATTCTTTGGAACCAGTTTTACCCTGCAGCCTTGTCACCAAGTCTTGTCTTTTATTCTCCTGTTTAACAGACATTTTAACCTGACAAATGGGTTTGGAACTTGCAAGAGTTTTATCTTCAGTGACCTGTAACTGATGGACAGCGGAAGTTCAAGAAACAGCTTCTCCAAAACAAAAATAGAAAAACCCTAAAAATTAATAATTGCTGAAAGCAATAGAGTATGCAGGAAGATGAACAAAGGAGGCAGAGTTCTGAACCTGTATCTCCTTTCCTAAGTTTATATCATCCATTAAAATGCAGGTTCATTCACACTTCTTGACTGGGACCACCAGCCTGCTTGTTGCATCTTTGTGTCTCTGTGTTTCATAGGTGCATCTCCATAGCAAAACATGGAAAAACCTGCTCCGTTCTTCTTGCTTTATATAACTTCATCACTAAAGATCAAATTCTCTGACCCTAGGCCTTCAGCACTGGGGATAGCAAACCATGCTTTTGTTGTAGGATCTTATCAGAACCACTTACCAGCTAGTAGTTCTGGTGACCTACTTGTCTCCATTCTTTCTTTGCTTCCTGTTTCCTCCTCCTTGAACAGCCTTCTTTAACTGAAGCCTTACAGAAAAAACATTGAAGCAGATAGCATAAGGTGCAGATCATGCTTATAGAAAAATAATGCACAAAACTCCACTACCATTCCCAGTCATGAAGCAAAGGGAAAAAAAAACAAACACAAAACCAGCTAAGTTGTTGAAACAAAAATTTATATAATTGTCGTTACCTGTAGAGCATTTAGATGTAATAAGTAAACATATTTCACAAATAACATTTTGTTTTCAGTTATGGCCAGCAAAAGTCCTGATAAAGACACATTCACATTGATATTAAGCTCCCTATTTTACAGAAATAGAATAATATAAATTAACTTAAAGTAATAGAGCTCCATCTATACTAGTGGGTTTATAGAATGGTATAATTGAAGCAATGTTATCTCTAACTGAAGACAACTCCAGGTAGGCAAGTCAAAGTCTGCATGTTTACTCTGTTAGTGGACACTGCAAAACTGCAGTAATGGGATGAGCCCAACAGCTATATTCCAGTTGGACACATGTTAAAAAATCTGAAAGTCTTTCAGCACACATTCAAAAGGTTCTGAGGTCTAAATACATGTAAATATATTGAGTGTTACAGATGCAGAGTATGAATTTAAAGAAGTAAAAGCTATATGATTATAGCTATAGCTATGATATATGTAAATAAAGAACCAGAACAGAACTATCTCTTGTAAAAGAAAATAGAGTAGATACATTACTGAGTAAGGTAAGTATGAAATAAGTACAATATACCAATAATAGGAGCAAAAAAAATTGAACAAAAAGGCAATGATGAAACAACATGAAGAAAGTGACATCAAAATTGGGGCATCCTTCTGAGAATTTCAGTTTGATCTTCAGGCTTTTATGAACTCCCGTGAGGCTTATGAGCAGCTTAGAGAACAGATTCATGGAATAAGCCCTGGAAGTGATAGTCTTCCACTGACCCTGCCAAAACTGTCTGGATTTGTAAAAACTGATAAAAGGGGGAAAAAGGTTTAATGAAATTTGTTATTGCATCACCATTTCCATCATAAGTTCTGGTCTCCCTTCCCATTGGGAATTGCATGCTAGGCACTTTGTGGTATTTTTGGAAACAAATCCACCAAGAACCTTTCCATTTTAGGATTACAAGATCTAAAATAGTCTTTAATTGCTCTTCATGACAGATGGAGCTTTGTACTTTGATTTTCTGTGGAATTGTTCTGGGAACTAGAAAGGTAGAAGAGTAGTGAGTTGATGTCATACAGAGTTCATCAGTCTTATCAGCATATTGCTCTTCTACAAGGATCCCTTTTGTCAGTCTACATAGACACTTCAGTTAAAATTAACAAAGTTCAACAAATTATTCCTTAAAAACAGTTTTAAAACATTCACAGGCTTATTACACTGTTCATAGTCATGGCACTTTCATGTGCACTGAGACTTTATTTGGGTCCATAGACTCTGCAGAAAGTCCAAGCATGCATCCTAGCTGAACTTGGATTCATCTCTCACTAGATATGGAAAGGAAATGCCCATCAAAGGACCCAGAAATCTACAGGAAAGAGTGTTTCTTCACATATGTCCTCTGCCTGAATGGCTGGTAAACTATTCTCAACCAGTGTTGGAGAGCCACAGCCATAACTGTGTAGCTTCGTATAAAATCATATGTCAGGTCATATACCACAATTAAATTTGGCAAGATTTTACTGCAATTCATGAATAAGACATATGGAGATTGCTCATAGAAGACTGTAAGGGAGAACCTCATCACTACACTGGAAGTAAATACAGACCCCTCTTAATTCTGACAGAAGAGCAGAGTAGGCTCCAGTGGTGAATTCTGAAAAGCCTACCCATGTCTGTGCTCCATAAGACGAGAATGTATTAAAAGAACCACAAAAAACATTTGGAGAATTACTAGTGTCTTTGGTATCTTATCTTGAACTGGCAGAGGCCTGAGCACACCAGGATTCCATTTCTCAAGCAAACCTAACATCACAGGAAAAAAACTGGAAATAGCTGGTGATGGCAATATTAAAAAAATGAACTTGCAAGGCCTAGTCTCAGAGTAGGGCAAGAATATGCCACACACACTCTCAGTCACAGTCATTCTGAGTTGAATCGGTCACCAGAGACAAGGGGCATAACACAGGCAACGTGGAGCACAGTCCCCATAGCCTTTGAAGATTTAGACACTACTGGCAACAGTTTTACAGGTCAATTTAGATAAGGTACATGATAACTTTTTTTTTCCTCATATTGAGGACAATGATTGGCAGAGCTCTGCTTGCAGATCTCTATCCCTTCCTGTCTTAGAGATGGGGAAACTACTGACTGCTCTCAGGAGAATTGTTAAGCATGGTCGTAGTGTTTGTTAGACGTAAGATTTAATCAACAGATCTCTTCTTGCCTTGAATGATATCTCCTGCAGCCAGCATGTTTATTGAAACCAGTGTCAAACAAAGAGCCTGTGACTGAGGGCTGCAAAGCTACAGAGTAACGTGAAATTCTTGAAGAATAAGGGAGAAATATGCTGTTTTGTACACAGTGTGCATCTGTGTCATTTTGTCACTTTGTGAGTTACATCCTTTTTTTTCACATCTTCCACAAAAGTCATACATCTCATCTCTGACATTTCTGGTTTCACTGTCTTGTCAGCTCATTTTTCTCAATCCACATACACCAGTTAGCCCTATCTCCAGTTTCTTCATATCTCCTTG